TATTTATTAAATATTATATTATATTATTATAAAATTACAATTACATAATGATATTGTAAAGATATCATTTACATTTAAACTACACAAAAAATTAAGAAAGTTACTCTTCCATTTCAATGAATTTTTTCCTTTTGTTCGAAAAGAAAGACTTGTGAAAATCATGTGCACACTAACGATGAGAAATGAAAGGAGACAATCAAGAAACCTGACACGTTACAAATATCAGGAAATGAAATGGGGTCTGGTAGGAATGGAAGCAGAAAAATTGCACAAAGAGACAACCACTTTTGTAACAGGCAGAAAATATTGCACCTTTCAAATCATCTACATTTATTCCTTTTCTAATTCCATGTTAGCATCGATTCTTTTCACATGGGATGGCCGAAAAAAGGGAAATTCTTTTCACATGGGGTTATGGGCTCACCGCTTAAGCAGTATCGCTCGACCTTGACTCAGCTTCCAGAGGGACTTTGGCCCATTTCTTATTCTGCATTTCCTCTATTTCGGTTGCCCATGCCAAAGAATTAAGCCCTAAACAAATATTTTAGACTTGAATTTATTGAGGCAAGGCTGCAATTTAATTTTGAAACTGAGATTCAAATCACCCACTTCTTGTTGGCATTCTTATTATCTTCACTCTAAACTAGTAAATTTTTATTTGATGCTAATAAAAACTTGATTGAGCTAACGAGATAAATAATTTAGTGGTCATCTCATTCTACTAGAAGTAAGAGATCTTGAATTCGAGTGGCATGGCATGTGGGTGGAGTGAAATAAAGAGTGAAAAATGATTGCTTCCCATTATGCAACCAAAATTAAAAAAATAAAAAATAAAAACTTGATTGATTTAATATTGATTAATTAAAATTATTTATTAAAGATCAATGTCAATATTTTAAATTTATATTTGTCAAGTAGCTAATCTTTCGATGTATCAAAACAAATATCATTTTATTTTGGCAGTCCAAACGAAAAGAACAATTTTGTAAAGTTTAGATTATTGCAATACACTCGATCATAAGGTTGATTAGATTATTGCACTTCAAAAGTTTGAGTTCATTCAAACACCAAAGAAGATTTAATTGAACAACAACTGGGCGTAAAAATAAAGCTCAATTTTGCATATATATATTTGCTCGAGTTGAGCTTAAAGTCACAAAAATACACATGTTTTACTCAACTTATTTACAGTCTTAAAATTTGATTTTCAAAGGTCCGAGAAAAGAAAAATTAATAAGAACTGTTTTGTTTGTAGATAATCGTATTCATGAATTTTTCCAATTATGTTAAATTACACTAACCAAGTTTTTGTCCCCACCATTTCAGCTTATAGTTTTGTTTGGTACAAGTTTTTCAAGGGCGGCACTCTGTTTTCTGCATCCATCATCGCCCTTGGCAGAGGGTAGGGACCAGAACATGGTGGTAAACACAAACTGTTCAAAGATAAACCGGTCCTGGTTGTGGGTCGCATTTTCCCAAAGCCTGGAACCTTGCATGATGAGTCACGCTCCCTTTTCTGGCAACTAAAGCTATAGGACTTCTACTCAACATTTTTGGACCAGGCAAAATGGCAAGTAGAATAGTGCCCTAAACTCCCATCTAGCAATCATCTCAAGGGGAACTGCAGCGACCCATATGTTCCTTATTAGTTATCTAAAACCTTGTTAATTACTAAATGCACTGTAGGGGGTTTCATATTAGTATTCATAGCTTCAAAATTTAGAAAACAAATTGATCTTGCGTTGTTTCAGCTTTTGTAACAGAGAAACTATTTCGATAAAATTTACACCAATCATGCCCACTAAGGGGAATTTTCATTTTGCCTTTTTCTTTTGAAAGGTAGAAAAGTTAGGTTACAGGATTGGTTAAGCGAGCTGGTATAAGAAAACAAAGTTAGGCTCGTGTTAGGCTTCATCGAAAATTTGGTATAATCACCAAATTGTTGATGGAGCACAAAATAAATCCTTTTCAATAACAATATCAATAACAACAATAATAATAAAGGACACAATAATAAAGTATTTTCTGCTCAAATGGTGAAAGACAGAAGAAAGTCTCCTAACTAGAACTAGAAGAAGTGAAGAACACTGTTTGCTTTGAAACTTTAGCTCAGATAGTTAGGCATTGAAACCTTTGAACCATTCATTGGAATGCAACTGGAGACTGTACTATTACCACATAGTAGGAAATGGATAGGAACTATCACATCAAAGATGAAAAACATCACCCTAGAATCCATGATTAGTCAGTTCCAAGGAACTCTTTATTGCTTTCTTAGCAACAGACCAAAAGCAGCCTCCCTGGAAATGAACTGTAGTTCTAAGTACTTAACGATGTTTGGGTCAATAGATGCAAATGTGGATATATCACCACACAATAACACAGTAACTTGAAAAAATGGCTGCAGAAGCACTAGCAATAGAAGATAAAGCTGCGAACTTTGGATTTTACTTCTTGCACTTTATATATACTTTGTACATACTCTAGACACCAAAATACATTTAAATTGTGCATTAACTTACAACATTAAAGCTTTGCAAGCCAAAAAGACCCACTTTTGTCTTTCTATCTACTAGCCATTCACACCTTACCAAGACCATATGTTCTGGTTGGTATATGACACAAAAAAATCAGGGGAAAAAGCCAAGAGCATGAGCCACCTTTGCCCCTTACTTTTGTTCCTTCCTTTTTGAAGTCCCCCTTCATAGGGAGATTTCAGTATGCAATGTCGTAGCATTGAACCCCACTTGTTGCTGTGATTGCTCTTGTTGCTGGACCTCCCAACTTGCCTTGGTTATAACTCCATCATGCACTGGCACGTATTCCTAATTAGAAACAAAGCAGTACAATCATTTACAAACCCAACAGACAGACAAAAAATTGAGACACCAGGATGGCAAGCTGAAAAAAGATTACTTCCCAAACACCGGATTGTCCTTTCCTTATACAAGTCAGAAAATTATGAGTTTAAACAAAGGTTTTTGATTATGAAAACAGAGTTATGAACCTCAGAAAGGCAGACACCCACCTCAAGCTTTTGAACCAATTCCTTGGCATTTGGTGCAGAGACAATGATGTGGCGCTGTGAAGGCTTAATAAAGCCATCATCCACAGCTTTGTTAATGAAAGTGAGTAGATAGTCATAATAACCATCAACATTGAGCAAACCCACCTGAACATATTTGGAAACAAAAGTTAGAGGTAGAGAAAAGAGGACCCATAATATGTCTTTTTGTCTATAAAGTGCCTGAAAATGGCTTACAGGCTTATCATGAATCCCGAGCTGTGCCCATGTTATCACTTCCAATAACTCCTCTAAAGTTCCATACCCACCTGAAACCCAACAAAGAGAAATACTAGGACTCCATTGATGTTTTGGGTAACAAAAAGGGGAAGATGTGGGGTTGGACATTATATATTGAGAAAGAGAGAGAGAGATGGGACCTGGTAGAGCAATAAAACAGTCAGAGTGGCGTGCCATTTCTGCCTTTCTTTGATGCATGTCTGCTACCGGCCTTACCTCTCCAACCGTCTCACCTGTTATCTGTAGCCCCACAAACACAAAACATTCTCAAAACTTCATTAAAGCAAAAGGTCGAGCATGTACAAAACCATAAAACACCAAATGGCAGAAGAAAAAAAAAAAGAAAAAAGAAATTGAGTGAATTTTGCACCTCTTTACTCATCAGAGTTCTGGGAATGATTCTGCAAAGTAACACCCCAGGCAGATTTTAAGGAAACAGAAAACACCCATGAAAAGAGAAAAGAAGATACATTTGTCAAGAGCAGAAATTGAATAGTTTGAAGGCATTACCCAAGAACATTTCCTCCTGCGCTGTGAACAGCTTGAGAAACCAGACCCATTAACCCAATACTCCCTCCACCATAAACAAGGTCCAATCCCCTAGCCACCTGTCAAACACAAACAGAAAAAGACACTTATAAATCCATCGTGCCATGAAAGAAACCCAAAAAAGGAAGTTAGGAGTTAGGACAACGTGACAACATACCAGCTCTTGGGCCAATTCAATAGCAGCTTCTCTATAGCTTTCCCGCTTTCCACTGCTACTTCCACAAAACACACAAACCCTCTTAAACCTTGATACAACCTTCCCCTCCATATCCACACACAGATCCTTGAACTCTTCTGCTTCCTTCCTTCACAAGTTAGGCAAACAGAATGAGACGGGTGTGGAGTGAAAAAAGTGAACTTTGTTTCACAGGATAGAAGGCAGAATGAAACAGAGCACTACATATATAGACACAACTCCGAGACCAAAAATTAGAATATTGATTATTGACCACTTTTACACAAAATAAGAAATAAGGATATGCAAAAAAACAAAGGAAACCCAAATTGCAAAAAGCAGAAAACAGTGATTAAAGGGTTGAGATAGAGGAAGACAAGGCAAGGGGACCCGGACAGAATGGGAAGTGGTGCACAGTAGCATTCTATAAAACACCCTACCCCCCTCCTGTCATACACGTGGCTCCTTATGATGCCAGAATCATGAAACATTTCGTGTTCATCAATGTAACCCTTATCCAGTCAGGGTAGGATGACAACAAATTAGTGAGTTTTTGTAATACACGCAATCATAACTTTTGCAGCTTAAACAAGTGCAGGGGCAGAACCCATTCTGCATTAAATCAATCTTAACATAGGCGTGGGTTAAGGTTAAGTTGATGATTGGGGGTGATGTTAATTTATCATGGGGCTGGTAGGTAGGTAGCTGCATGCAGGATGCAACAATCTTTTATCATTCCCAAAAGGGCCAAAAAAGCCTAGTTTGCTGCTTACCATCGTCTTGTCCACACACTACAGCAATGCCCTGTTGCAAGCAAACTCTCTTTAACGGATAAGAAGTAAGAACCTAAACTTGGGGTTAAGAACCTAAACTTGGCGTTTTACCTATAATGTGAAAACAGGTTCCAAATGTCGTAACTCAGAAAACCTGAGGCTGAAAACACAACGAAAAAGACAAAGATTGTAATTTTATTCTTCATTTAGTATCAATTACAGTTTCCTGGTCAAATTTCTGATCCAGATGGAGTAAAGCTTAAGTCTTTGCTAGAGGTTTGTGTACCCCAACACACACATGGACGGATTGAAACGGTGGCGCGTGGAAATGATGGAAGGTGAAGGCCTAAGTAATCCCAGGAAAACATTCTTTGGCCTTTGGTCAGAGAGGTTCCATCATCAATCAAGTCGTGTTTAATGCTCCCTGACTAATTCTACAGTCTACCCACTGCAGCGAGCCGCATGACCCGGAGCGTGGTCCTGGCATCCGCTTTGAACCCCGTAATTCCCATACTTATTGCCGAGGGATTGGCAATTGAAAAGTGAAAACCCCACTGTTTCCCCAAAATTCCAAATTGGCATGTGAAAATGAAATTCTCACAATGGTATAGGACAACACCTCTCTCTGTCTCTTCTGAGTCTGGACAACAGAAAAATTGAAGATGAAATGAAAGAGAAAAGGGTGTCTTTTGGGTATCGACAAGAGGTCACTCATAATTTAAAAAATGATGGAAGGAGCAGTGGCTTATTTGCTGAACAATTTTTGCTCACTCCAGCTTATTTATTAAAATTTACCCCTTTTTTTTAAATTAATAAAATGATAATTTTCTTTATAAATTTATTAATTAATATATTACCCCTTTTTTTTAAATTAATAAAATGATAATTTTCTTTATAAATTTATTAATTAATATATAAATAATTTATATTTAATTAAATTAAAAAAATTAATCTCAAACAAGCTCTTGAAGGAACTTTTAAATAAAAAAATTTATTTAATTATAATATAATAATATAATATCACATAATATTATAAAATTATAATTTCATATGTTATTAAATAAATTTTATTTGTTATTAAAAAAATAAATACAAACAATATCATATATTTTTTAATAAAAAATTAATTATATAGTAGTATATTATATTATATATTTATTTTTTGAACATGATATTATATATTTATAGTACTATATAATATTATAATTATAATATTTTTATTTATTTAATCTATACATTAAAAATATAATAAATATATTTTTTTATAATTAATTTATATAAAAAATAATTTTTATTTTATTAATATTATTATAAAATAATTTTAATTAATTAATTTTTATTATTTTTATATAAATTAATTATTAAAAATATATTTATTTAATCTTTCATCTTTATCTTATGTACAAAAAAAACCCATAAAAAGACAATCTTTGAGAAACGTGATGGGGTTGTGGGCTACTGCTCACCTCGCCAGTTCTCATTAAATGTTGGTGACCTTTCTTCCATATCAGTTTCAAAGTTTCAACATCAGTCACCAAAAGCTTCCATTTTTAACACGTCTAGTGCTCTGTTCATGAATTAGGTGGATCAATTCAAGTCCCTTGGATTGGACCCAAATAGTTTTCGTAGTGGGGAGGCGGGTGGGTGTGGGTGAGGCCACAATCAACGGGCAGAGACGCACAGGAGGAGGTGATACAATCAAGGATGACTAGACCACAGTGATAGGGTCTTCGACATTGAAGCTGTTGTTGTGGATGAGAGAGCGGCGCAATCATTGTTCCGCCGCCGTATATCTCGGCTGATGAATTTAATGCCCTGTTTTCTTGCTTTCATCGGAATCCGCTGCTTCTAAATCATGATACTTTGACAGAAGGAATAACCCTTCAAAAAAAATGGGTGTAAGAAAAAAATCGAATCATAACGAGCGCGTTATTAATCATAAAGATTGGCATTACCTTGGAAGCTCCGGTTACTTCCGGTGTCAGAGAATCGCAGTACCGGAACAGGCGATTCAGGGGTGGAAGAAGGAGAATAGATCACCAGAGTACAAAACTACCCTCGTTGCATTAGGCTTATTTTGGTTGAACTTTCATTGGGCTTGCCCAATATGTTTCAAGGCCCATTTATAGTAATTAATTAATAAATCAAGTGGAAT